TTGCCTATTATGATAAACAAAGTTATCAAGCAATCTTTTTTGGGTACATGCTAGGGTTCTGAATCTGTCATAGGTATATCTTTTGATATGTCAAAGACTGGGGAGTTGTTTATAAGTGCGCGAGCGTTTGAAAGAATGCGTAATCTCCAATTTTTAAGAGTTTCCATGGGGGGTTCCAATGAAAATGTTAGCTTGGGTACACTAGAGAAATTTCTACCTCGTCTAGAAGACATGGAGTTTCGCTCTCGTCTAAGGTATCTACATTGGAGTTCATACCTAGGAACAAGTCTTCTTCCAACATTTCGGTCTGAATTTCTCATTGAGCTCTATATGCCATCAAGCAAACTCGAGAAGCTATGGGGAGGAATCCAGTTTGGTATTTGATATATTTTAATATGTTTATAATGATTTAGCCATATATATGATATTTCTCATTTGTTGTGGTGTTTGACATGCAGTCCCTTGTAAATCTGAAGAAGTTATATCTGAACTTTTCAATTAGGCTGAAAGAGATCCCAAATCTTTCCAAAGCTACAAATCTGGAGACACTGACACTTATCCAATGCACGGGTTTGGTGAAGTTTCCTTGCTCTATTTTCAATCTATACAAACTGAAAACAGTGAGGATGTGGGTTTGCAAAAAGCTACAAGTTGTTCCAACCAACAAAAACTTAGCATCTCTTGAGAAATTCGACACGGACCATTCCTCACGATTGAGAAGTTTTCCAGATATTTCTAGGAACATCAAGAATCTCTATGTAAGAGGTTCATCAGTTGTTGGTCGTTGGTCTCATCGCAGAAGAAGGCTTAATCTAGGTGGTAGAGACCTCAGGATATCAACACATGTTCCAGAATATATAAGCAGACTGGACCTAAGCAGTAGTGATATAGAGAGGATTCCAAGTTACGTCAGCGGGCTCAGTCGGCTTACAAACTCTTATGATCGAAAACTGTAGAAAACTCGTGTCAGATCTCAGTTTTTTGTTCAAGTCCCTACATGCAGACAATTGTGTTTCACTTGAGAAAGTCGAATTATTTTCAGTCAGGGAACTCATGTTCCGTAACTGTATCAGACTCGATGAAGAAGCAAGAAGACAGATCATACATATGTATGCTTGCCTTGTAAAGAACTTCCTGCAGACACTCAGAAAGCTACAGGAAACCCCATAAGCCAAATATGTTAGAAAGTTTAAAATATTATTATTGATATATTTAAACTTTGTAAAAAGTTTAAAATATTACAAACATCTAAACTTATAAAAATTTTAAAATATTACATGACGGGTTATATGGCATGATGGTTTTGGATCGACATTAATATAAATTTAGAGTATCATTAAGCCGGTGCTACAACACGGGAAACTCATCATTGTATTAGTGTTGTCGTATGTAAAAAGCTTATCCCACTGTATACCTCGTCGAAACTTTAATTGACTCGTCAACTACTTCGTCAAAACTTCTTTTGAAATTTCTTTCTATTTTGTTTTTTTTTTTTTTTTTTTTTTTTTATTTTGTTTTTTTTGAAGTGAATATGGAACTGATTTTGTTCTATTGAATTGCTTAATTGAAAGTTACACACTACGACTTACTTAAATAGAATTACTTAAATAGAAAAATAGAGTAACAACTTCCTAAAGACTGACCCACGACTCAATCAACACGACTCGGTATTGCATATGACTCCGACTTCTTTAATTATTCATTTTTCAGTACCACCAATCACATTCTAGTTTCTTGGAAATTTCTCATCTCCTTTTACGCGTTTTTGCTTCAAGAAATAAACCAAAGGAACTCTTTCTTTCCCGATCATACTTTCTTCAATACCATTCTAAGAATACTTTCTTCAAGTTCAAAACCATAGTGATCTCTTATGGCTTCTTCTTCTTTTTTGTCTTGCATCAAGAGATACCATGTCTTTTCGAGTTTCCACGGTCCAGATGTCCGTAAAGGGTTTCTCAGTCATTTACACAATCTCTTTGCAAGCAAAGGTATCACGACTTTCAATGATCAGAAGATTGAAAGAGGCCAGACGATCGGACCTGAGCTCGTACAAGCGATTAGAGAATCTAGAGTCTCGATCGTGGTTCTCTCGAAGAATTACGCTTCTTCCAGCTGGTGTTTAGATGAACTGCTTGAAATCTTGAGATGCAAAGAAGATGATGGACAGATTGTGATGACCATTTTTTACCAAGTTGATCCGTCAGATGTTAAAAAACAGAGGGGAGACTTCGGGAAAGCTTTCGAGAAGACTTGTCAAGGGAAAACTAAGGATGTAAAGCTGAGATGGATCGAAGCTTTGGCACATGTTGCAACCATTGCTGGGGAACACTCCCTTAATTGGTATGTCTCAATGAACTTTAGACCCACCAACGCCATTTTGCTTTTATCACAAGCAATTTTTTTGTAAATTTAGACCCACCAAGGCACCAACTTGAATTTGTTTTGCTTTTGCTAGGGCTAATGAAGCAGAGATGATCCAAAAGATTGCTACAGATGTTTCAAACAAACTCAATCTTACTACACCTTCAAGGGATTTTGAAGGGATGGTGGGACTTGAAGCTCACTTGACAAAATTGAATTCTTTGTTATGCCTGGAAAGTAATGAAGTCAAGATAATTGGAATTTGGGGTCCTGCAGGGATTGGTAAGACTACCATTGCTAGAGCTCTATACAACCAACTCTCTAGTAGTTTTTAACTTAAATGTTTTATGGGGAACCTCAAGGGCAGTCTTAAGAACATAATGGGTGTTGATGACTATGAATACCAGAAGTCTCTGCAAAAGCTACTTCTGTCTAAGATTTTGAACCAAGGGGATATGAATACAAAACATTTAGGCTCAATAAGAGATCGGCTACATGATCAGACAGTGCTTATCATTCTTGACGATGTAGATCATCGAGATCAATTAGAGGTTTTGGCTAAAGAACTTTCTTGGTTTGGTTCTGGAAGCCGGATCATCATTACCACAGAAGATAAGAAGATTTTGAAGGAACATGGGATCAACGATATCTACCATGTGGATTTTCCATCCAAGGAAGAAGCTCTTGAGATCTTATGTCTCTCTGCTTTCAAACAAAGCTCTGTACCAGATGGTTTTGAAGAGCTTGCCAATAAAGTAGCAAAGCTTTGCGGCAGTCTTCCATTAGGCCTTTGTGTTGTGGGTGCATCTTTGCGTGGGGAGAGCAAGCACGAGTGGGAACTTCAATTATCTAGGATCGAATCTAGTCTTGATAGAAAAATTGAAGCCATATTAAGAATCGGATATGACAGATTGTTGAAGAATGATCGATCTCTATTTCTTCACATTGCATGCTTCTTCAACGATGAAGACTTAGCTCATGTGATATCTATGCTTTCTGATAGTAACTTGGATGTTGGAAATGGTTTAAAGACCCTAGCCGATAAATCTCTCGTGCATAAATATACGTATGGCCGTATAGTGATGCACCATCTACTACAACAATTGGGTAGACAGATAGTTCATGAACAGTCTGACGAGCCCGGGAAACGTCAATTTTTAATTGAGGCCGAAGAGATTCGTGATGTACTGACAGAAGAAACAGTAAGTTTTTCTAGTTCTTACATATATATATTTCAAGATATTGCCTAGTTTTACTGATAACAATTTCATCAGTTTCTTTTGCAATATTTGTAGGGTACTGGATCAGTCAAAGGTATATCATTTGATACAGCGAATATCGGAGAGGTTTCTGTAAGTAAAGGGACTTTTGAAGGAATGCGTAATCTCCGATTCCTAAGAATCTTTAGGAGTTTGTTTGGCGGCAAAGGTACTTTGCAAATACCAGAAGATATGGATTATATACCTCGTCTTAGGTTACTACATTGGGAACTTTACCCAAGAAAAAGTCTTCCTCAGAGGTTTCAGCCGGAACGTCTCGTGGAACTCCGTATGCCAGAAAGCAATCTCGAGAAGCTCTGGGGAGGAATCCAGGTTTGGTATTTGATATTCTTTCTAGTACTTTTAATGATTCAATTTAAATAAGAAATATTTCTCATTATATTTGTTGTGTTTAACATGCAGCCCCTTCCTAATCTCAAGATCATAGATCTGAAGCTATCCCGTGAATTGAAAGAAATCCCAAATCTTTCAAAATCTACTAATCTCGAGGAATTGACACTTTTGATGTGCGAAAGTTTGGTGGAACTTCCCTCTTCTATTAAGAATCTACAAAGACTAAAGATTCTAAATGTTGATTATTGCTCTATGCTAAAAGTTATTCCCACCAACATCAACTTAGCATCTCTTGAGAGACTCGACATGATTGGTTGCTCACGGTTGAGAACTTTTCCAGATATCTCCAGTAACATCGAGGTTCTCAATCTCGGAGATACAGATATAGAAGATGTCCCTCCATCAGTTGCTGGATGTTTGTCTCGTCTTCATCACCTCAACATTTGCAGCAGAAGCCTCAAGAGATTGACACATGTACCACTATATATAACTAATCTAGTTCTTAAAAACAGTGATATAGAGACGATTCCAGATTGCGTCATAGGTCTCACTCGTCTAGAATGGCTTTCTGTCGAAAGATGCACAAAACTCGAGTCAATTCCGGGTCTTCCCCCCTCCCTCCATCTCCTAGAAGCAAACGATTGTGTATCACTCAAGAGAGTATGCTTCTCTTTCCATAACCCAACCAAGAGACTCGAATTCAACAACTGTTTTAAACTGGATGAAGAAGCAAGAAGAGGAATCATACAAAAATCAATTTACGATTATGTATGCTTACCAGGTATAGAAATCCCTGCAGAGTTCACTCACAAAGCTACAGGGAGATCCATAACCATCCCTCTGGCTCCGGGTACTCTCTCTGCTTCCTCAAGGTTTAAGGCTTGCCTTCTCATTTTCCCAGTTTATGACTACGGATATGAAGGTGTAAGCTGTAGTATAAGAAGCAAAGGAGGTGTTAAGGTTCAGAGCTGCAAACTTCCATGTCATGATTTGAGTTTTCGGTCAAAACATCTGTTTATAGTTCATGGTGACTTGTTTCGCCAACGAAACAATTGCAATGAAGTTGATGTGACTATGAGCGAGATTACATTTGAGTTCAAACACAAGTACATCGGTGACAAGATTATTGAGTGTGGTGTACAGATCATGACAGAGGAAGCTGAGGGTAGCAGCAGCAGGAAATTGGACAACTATGAAACTGAGAGTAGCAGCAGCGAAGTGGACAGCCATGAAACTGAGAGTAGCAGCAGCGAAGATGGAAATGGAGATGAAAACATCAAAACCAGTAAACAAACAGGTTTTAGGAGTTGGCTTCGGAAGTTTTTTTGTCTAGAAGAGAAGAAGATGAATACGACGGAGTGGAATTCTCATGGAGTCTCATGAGACCAAGCCAGTTTTTTGTACTTTGCTTCACCATCTTCGTAAGGTACTATCTTCTAAATAACAGATGGAGATGGAGATTATGACCCTCAAGCTGTTCAGCTCTGTAAAGATGAAAACATCATAGGTTGTTGGATTTAATTTGGAAAGCTGAATCTGGGGTAGAAGAAGAATAAACCTTCATCTTAGGTCGTAGGATTCAGTCAGGGGAAGAAGATGGATCTTACATTATATTAGGGATATTTATTGGCTTGAGTATATTTGTATTTTATTAAAAATTAGTTATGCATTTGATCGGTAAAGATTAATGATTACTGATTCTGGACACTAGCCATTAGTGGTATCGAGTTTATTCCCGATTTTTTCACACGTTTCCGGTCATTTGTAACTTGTTATTGTTTAGGTCTTCCCATTAACGAGCATAAGTATTTGGCATACACTAGAGACCAGTCTCCTTAATTTCTGTTGTTGATTTGGTTGTTGATGTGTGTGTGGGTTGTTGTAGAAGATGTATTGCTCTGTTCTTTAGCCGTTGCGATTCTTGGTTAAGACTTCATTGCTTTGGGGACAATCTTAAGAGATGGATTTATCTGAGTTTGAACGTAGATTGCTTTAGCCATAGAACCTAAGCGTTAGAAGCTTATGTGAATCAAGCTATCAACGTAGGATTCCTGCAGGTTCTTGTTTACATGAACTTGACGCTTAACATTATATTCTTTCTGTTTCAGGTAGGAGATAGGGAATTTCGACAAGACACTGATTCTCCAGAGATCAAAACTAAGTCCACACAAGGAGACCATACAGTTCCAGGTTGTTGGAGCAGTGCCTTGTGTTGTGAGCATAAAAAGGCAAAACCCTTGAAAGAAGGTTGATAGCATTAGAGAAAACAGAAGCATTGCAGCTCACACCGTCCATCCATCGAGAAGTAACCCATGAACTGATGATACTTTCACTATTTTTTTCCGGATTGATTGATCGTAGAATCATAATCCTGTTTCCATTGGCCTTAATTAGCTGTTTAAGTACTAAGAAAAGTCTTGTTACCTTTTGATCTAGTTAATTAGCTGTTTAAGTACTAAGAAAAGTTTTGTTATCTTGTGATCTTGTGAATTACTTGAGAATCATATTAATGTTTCCATCGGCCTTAGTGAATTACTTTATTGTTGAATTAAGTAAAATATCAAACTCCAGCGTTTGCAAACTTTGCAAAGAAAGTTTGGTTCTTGATATTCAAATGTAGCTCCTCAACACTCAACTCCTTTCATTCATCGGTGAACTCTTTAATTGTTTCAGCTCCAAGATTCTTCAAGTTTTGAAACTTCAACTTCTTTTGGTAATCGACTTAAACCTTGGGTGTTTAGAATTCTTTTAAGGCCCATAACTTTGATAATAGTGAATCCCAAAGGCCCAAATCACCAAATCTCTAATGGTGATGATGCGAATCGTGTGAGAAGAAAGAATGAAGAAAGAGCTTCAAAAATGAGAGAGCTCCTGTGAAGTGACGAAGAAGACGAAGGAGAAGAACATTAATGGCGGCTACTCCGTGGTACTTTGTCGCAGTACTTCTCACCATTCTCACCAGCTCTCAGGTTCCAATTTCCAACCCTAATTCTCCAATTCCTTTCTTCTTCTCTTGGTAGTTATGATTGAATCCGAGATTCATTTTCGCTTTGTTTCTACATTCTCTGCGCGAGTTTATAGATCTACAAATTGAGTTATCGGTGGTGTTATGATCTCCAAAATCTATTTCTGGATCATGTATGTCGGTTAGAGTGTGATAATTGCTATTTTCCACGGCTTCGAGCAATGTCATGTTAGATCGTTAGATTTGATGTTCCAGTGGATTCTGGTTTTCAATTTGCGAGTGCTTGATTGATTTGATTGTTCGATATTTGTAGCTGAAGAAGTTTTGTGAGAATTTGTTCACCAAAAGCTGTTATTAGTCTAATACAAGTCATGATCATCATTCTCTATGTTCTTCTGGCTTTAGGTTTGAGATAGAATGTTAGCAATATTTACTGGATAGATTCGAAAATGAGAGATAAGTTGATAATATTTGTTTCCTTTCTCTCACTGTGTAAACATATGCCTCAGGGGATTTTAACAACTCTTTCTCAAAGCAATGGAGGTTATAAGTATGATTATGCTACTGTTCCCTTTCTTGCCGAAGTTTTTAAGGTATTTTTTTGCTTCGCTAAATGTTTTGAAGGATTTTCGCATGTCTTATTTAGCTGCTGACTTTGTTTACTTTTGTTAACTTCTTCTGCAGCTGATAGTCTCTGGTTTATTTCTCTGGAGAGAGATGCGGACATCTTCTTCAACAACTTCGAGGATTACTACGGATTGGAAGAGCGTGCGCTTATTTGTTATTCCTTCTCTTATATACCTGATACATAACAATGTGCAGTTTGCTACATTGACTTATGTGGACACATCCACTTATCAGATAATGGGTAATTTGAAGATTGTGACCACTGGTATACTCTTCAGGTATCCGTTTCGTCTACCGACTTTCTCTATATTATCCTTTTGCACTGAGCTCTCTCTGTAGATTAACTAATTAACTTGTAATTTGTTGTTGTTATAGGTTATTTTTGAAAAGGAAACTATCTAAACTTCAGTGGATGGCAATTGGTCTTTTAGCTGTTGGAACAACTACCAGCCAGGTGTGGTGATGCATACATTAAATTGTGTATGCGATATTTCCTTTCTATTTTAGTACTTACAGTCTTATGATTTTCAAAATGTTCATGTTAATCTACTTAGCAGTCAGCACACTAGTTTTGTACTGGTAATTTAAAAGCTAAGCTGGCATCAAAATTTCAACCATTCAATTGGTCTTGTCGTTTCAGGTTAAGGGTTGCGGAGAAGCTACATGTGATTCTTTATTCACGGCACCAATACAAGGTTATTTGCTGGGCATCCTCTCAGCTGGTTTGTCTGCGCTAGCCGGAATCTACACAGAGTTTCTGATGAAGAGAAACAACGACACCTTATACTGGCAAAACTTGCAATTGTATACGTAGGTATCTTTTCTTCACATCAAATTTTCTCATGCCTAGAGTATTATTGTCACTACTTATTCAATTTAAAAGCCTCTTCATTAGGCATTAGGCAATGATATCCGGTTCAATCACCATATCTTTTCTTTCTTTACTCACCAGGTTTGGTTCACTTTTCAACGTTGCCCGACTTATAGCAGATGATTTCAGACACGGGTTTGAAAAGGGTCCTTGGTGGCAACGTATCTTTGATGGGTACAGCATCACCACTTGGATGGTAGTTCTGAATCTCGGATCCACCGGCTTACTGGTCTCGTGGTTAATGAAGTATGCAGACAATATCGTGAAGGTGAAAACTCAATCTTGTTCTTCATCATCAAACATAAGAAAGTAAAAAATGTCTGTTCTTAAACTCACATTTTACATTTTTCTTCTAGGTTTATTCTACATCAATGGCAATGCTACTTACTATGGTTGCATCCATATACCTCTTTAGCTTCAAACCGACATTGCAGGTTTGTATATGGTTTATCTCGAATCAGATATTCCTTCCTGTATTTGGCTCATTCGTCTTCTTTGATTGATACAATCTGCAGCTTTTCTTGGGTATTGTCATATGCATCATGTCACTTCATATGTACTTTGCTCCTCCACACACGCTCGTGGACTTGCCAGTGACAAACGAAGCACATTCCAAGACCTTAAAGCAAGTTGTCGTAGAAGAAAAGACAGATTCTTGAATCAAATTGGACGAAAAGGTTAGTTCAACATATAGAAAAGCAATTTGCTAAGTAAATGAACACAATGATCTTCTTCTAGCTTCATTTCTATTAGAGAATCAGAAACTTGGATATGAGTTCTTCTGACGCAATGATCTGATAGTTTATTCACGTACTGATTATATTCTTTGTAAATGTACATCGAGGTGCCCAGAAGTAGTAAATTCGATTGTTGAAGCCTGTTGTTTTCCTTTTTCTTACGCTGATGATATGTAAGAGTGTCTACCAGATAAACTATTGTGTTCCTTTTTTGACCGGCTGGTCTGATTTGTTTGGGTTATCTGGAGTTGGTTCAGGTTTGGTTTATAGAAATTGAGCTTTATGTAGGAGTTGGTTCGGGGTTGGTTTATAGGCATTGAGCTTTCTAAAGTGTGGACGTTCTTAACCACGACGCTATTACGGATTCGGAAGAAATTAAATGTTATACCACAAAACACAAAAAAAATATAGAACAAATTTGATTTAGCTTCCACTCTTGTTTCGAAAATAATAGTCAGAAGTCGAGCATCATACTATCTTCACATTTTCTAAATGTCATGAGCAACACATTACAAAATGCAGACCGAGGAGAATTTGCATTAACAGATTTTAGTAATAAAACCTTTCAACTAAAGATATATCGTAAAAAAAACCCTCAATAAAATATTTAGTGAAAAAACCCCTCAACTTCAAATAATCAAATCTGTTAATGCAAATTTCCCTCTGTCTGTAGACTGTAGTGTCGTGAAAATTGGACGGACTACAGTTCAAACTAAAACGTAACATTTTCAGAATCTCTCCTAATCGACTTCTACACCACACAAACTTCAGAGAATCTAACTATGATAAATTAGGGTTCATCAATTTAGATTTTTCACTTTGAGAATTTTAGAGCTAAGATTTGGGGATTTATAATCGGATAAAAGAATATTTTGTTGTATTTGTTTACAATTCATGTTATTTAAGTGTATATGTTGTTTTTCAATTTCAATTTTACTATAGTCCTTCCAATTTTCACGACAATGTAGACGGGGGAGGATTTATATTAACAAATCTTAAGTTGAGGGTTTTTTCATTAAATATATTGTTGAGGGTTTTTTTACGATCCATCTTTAATTGAGGAGTTTTATTACTAAAAACCCTAAAATCATTTATAGACTTTTCATTTATATAAGTAGTGGTTGAAGATGAACTACTGTATGTAACTTTTCTTTATGTATCCTTTCTTTTTTTCCGCATATTTTTCGTTGTTACAAACCGATAATCAATCATTTTCTTAATAAATGGTAGTTTATCCAAAAAAAATTAATACCATTTCGTATCTCTGCAAATCAAAACTTGAAAAAATGTAGTTGAAGTCTATTATACTAGTGTGATATACCATGGCCACGAGTCACTCCATCTCCATAGGTTCTTATTTATGACACATTGACGAAAGTGAAATGCTAAGCCAAATCCGTAACGATAGGGGCACTTGTAAACATTAAAAGAACACGACGTACTAGTCGTCGCATGCATGCAACTAGAAAGATTTAGATGTTTCCAAAGAATCAAGAATGGGTCCATCTTCCCTCATTTTATCCCCAACGGACATTCAAGAAACGATCAAACTCCTCCACCAAATATTGAGCTTTTTAATAGATGATCATTAGGGTTATTTTGAACAAGAGAGGATTTCGGTTTTTAAAAATAACATTAACTTGCATTTGAGTCTGATAAACCTGAGTTAGCGATGTTCAAAGCATAAACTTAATTCATTTAGAAAATTGAATTATTTTTCCCATCACCAAGTTGCCTTCAACACTAAATTCGATCGTAGTCTTTAGAGCATGAGCAGTGGTAGAGACTCATAGAGTCTCTCAAAAAATTATTATTTTAATGTTTTTAATATAATTTAATTGTTGTTTTAAATTAAAAACTAAAAAGAAAAAGCAAAGCCAATCAAATTTTGACATGTGTAAAAGGAGTCTCTAGAGAGGTTCTCATATGTTCTCATTTGAGAATCGATTCTCGTTTCTCACTCCTCCTTTTCAATATTTTTCTTTTTAATATTGTTGAGAGACTTGGTGAGAGACTTCCACTGTGGATGCTCTTATAGTTACTAAGGAACCAAAAAAAAAGAAGCATTAAATTCGGTTCTGTTTTTGTGAAAACGAAAACTAACAAAATTCAACGAAAGCCAATTAATGAGAAATACAAGACACACAAAAGAGTTATCTCGGTGCATTTAATATGTGAAGTGATTAATATAGCAGCCTCCAATATTGAATTTGTTACAATCAAGGGATTAACTAAAAAAACAAAAACCAAATTAAATGGCATCAAAGTAATATATGACCTTGAAACTCTAAATCAACGCTTTAGTGATTTTAAAATCTTCCTAGAAACATTGTGGATTGTTACTATTTTTAACAGTTGTGGTTTTGTCACTTAATTTGTTAGGAAATGCTTTAAAAAGTTAAATGAAAATATATAAAAGTCATGGTATTTTTACTCATTATCAATTGTATGTGAAATATACTTATTAGACATATGTACTACTCCATTAGTCCATAAAGAAATATATTTCGTGTATTACAAATTTAATGATTAATCAGGTTTGCAAGATGTTTGATATGATTAATATCGCATTTGATGTAGCCTACGACAGAGACCTGGATAAATAAAATACACAAAAGACAAACATTAACACACAAAATAACAAAACTAAATATTCAATTAACATAGTAGCAAAAGAAAAAAGAATAAAGAAAAGACAGTTTCAAAATCTAGTACGTGCTTGCATCTACATGATCCAACGAAGTTCTTCGCCTATCCACAATATATTGTTTTGCCTATATAAACACATATCCCATTTCCTCATAAGAAACCTCAAGCCCTAATTAAACTCTCAAGAAACCTACTTTTCTTGTCAAACAATCAAACCCTTTTTAGATATAAAAAATGGGAATCAAATTCAGCCATGTTCCTTCGAATACAACCATTCACTACATAAGTCATCATGATAATCATCAAGATGGTGAAGATCAAAGGAGCAAGACGACGACGAAGGTTGATCAAGACAAGTCTCAAAATCGATCAAGCAGCTTTCAGATTCCACTTCATTATCCAAAGTATACAAAGAGTGATTATGAGAAAATGCCAGAGTGGCAATTGGATCAGCTTCTGACAGAGTATGGCTTGCCGGTTATCGGAGATTCTTACCAGAAGAGGAAATTTGCCATCGGGGCTTTTCTCTGGTCGTCGGAGAATGAGCTCTAGATAGTTTCATCGTACGTCGTCGTTTCATATGGTGCTATTTAAATAAAAATAAGTTGGTGAAATTGAGTAAAAAGAACATGTTTGCATGTATATATATTATCTTGTACTGTTGGACATGTATGTTTTATAATATATATTAGTATATTATATGTATCGATTGTGTGTTTCTCTATAGTCTACTCTCCATGTGTGTTACCTCATGGGCACGACATTTGTAATAACTATACTAAACTTTATACTCCTTCTGATTTAAATTTAAGTGTCGTTTTAAGGATTGTACTTTTGTTTTAAAATATAAGTTTTGTTTTAAACTTTCAATGTAAAATATGGCATAAAATTCATGTGTGAAAGTATTTTGCTTCATTATCTTAATCTTACACTAGCGAGTTTTAGATGATTGCTTCATCTAAACATGCTCATTTTTGTGATCTTTGATACTACAACAGGCGAGAAATTGTACTTTTGGAAACACAAATCCATGAAATTTCTTGTAAAACACATCCATTATATTTATTGTACGAGTGTTTTAGGTATCACAAATTTATAATTGAAAAATAAAAACTAACAATTAGTAAATTGATTAAAAGCAAAATGAAACTGATTTCGTAGAAAATATATTGGCCGCTTAGAACAGAGGATTTGTTAGTTTTGGTTGACAATGTAGATCTATTTCACGTCATGAACAATATTGTCGTTCCCGTCAGAACTTTGAGTCTATTTCGTACATACTCGAACATGTACATATATAATAAACATTAGAAAATGATCTCTGGGTGTTGGATTTTCCCCTAGAACTAGATGCGTGATTACCACCTCACAAAGGATCATCCCCTACAAGTTCAACATGGACCTAACAAGACCTACGCTCGATGATGGACGTGTGCTTATTCAAACGACCATCTAGAATAGAAACTTTCACCAAACCACATTTGTTCATTACGGGTTTCACTAATACATGTGAATGAGTTGTGACTGTTTAAAATTTGTAATGTGTATGACAGGTCTTCTAAAGATAAATTTTCAATAAATCTTAGCTTGTGCAAACTCTAATCCGACAACCGTGGTGAAGATGCTATAAGCATTGTAGAACTAAAAGATGGCGCACATTCTTACATATATTTCAAGCAATTTTGATCATTGTCTGAACAAATTTATACATTCCACCAAAATTACATATAAACCGGTAAACAAAATATATGACTATTCAGACTAAATTAAATTAGAGTTAGTGGTATTTGAAAATTTAGTATATAAAATATTCACATTATGTCAAAACTTATAAGTATATGCAAGAATGAATGTCTCTCAAAGAAATTGATTTTTACCCATGATGGGCATCATAGCAGCGCAAGCCATGTTCATATTAAGATTAAGTTTGTCTATTGAGATTTTAGTGATATTGACTTATGCTCAATTCTAACAAAATATGAACAATGAAATTAAAAAAAGTGTTCATATTAAGCACAAAACTCTTATCATGGAACATCTTTTCACATTAAAAAAAAAAATAGAAGTGTATTGCTGATATAGACATTCTAGATTAAAAGAGAATTCCTTTATTATGTATAGAACTTATTTTAGATCGCTTATACTTTTCCGATGTGAGATTATAACATTGTGGACTCCATAATAAAAATAAAGATATTGGAGAACTCGAATACGCCTTGACAAATAATTTAGTCATTAAGCCGCAAATATCAACAAAAAATCTCATTGATATGATGAATTCAACTGCCAAGTTTATGGAAATGAAGAAATCAACCACGGAAATCAGTTAGTTTTTATAGGTAGTATGGTTGCGATAATGTACATGCAACAAGTTCATGATTCAATTGAAATTGTAAAATTTTTAACTTAGAACCTTTTCGTTTTGAAAATTAACATCAATTTTTGTAAACTTTTGGATAATTTTTTTTTTTTTTTGGTAAGTAACTTTTGGATAATTTTTACGAGAGGATATATGTACTTCGGTAGCTTTAAAAATTATTTGCACCTATAATTTTTAAACAAAATGTTGTGAATTGTGAACTTAATGCATTTTCTTTCATTTATCTGATTTCACCAAACTAGAATTTTGTAAGTAAATAATGAAAAAATCCTAATTTCACCAAACTTAGAAACCAAAGCGAGCACTAGATCTGATTTCACCAATCGTTAGTTAATACTTAGTAGCTTGGAATTTGGATCATGGATAAAAAGAATAATTTGCCAAATTTATTTCTCGTCACAATAATTGTATTATTAGGTTTTTTTTTTGGTCAAACTCATATATTAATTGAAATAGGAAAGCTACACTCCACTAAGGGAGGAAAAGTTCATAATAGACAATGCAGAGAGAGCAGATTTAGCCAGAGCATCTGCTTCTACATTATCTAAGCGCGGAATGAAAACGAAAACGATAGAGGAGAAGGAGTCAGCTAGACAACGGATGTCATGAAGAATTCCTTTGAGCTCCTTAAGGCTGCCACCATTCTTGAGAAGCTTGATTAGGACTTGAGAGTCCGAACAGATCTTTAGAGATCGGTAATGAAAAGGATGAGCGAGTGAAGTGATATGAAACAGAGCACTTCGAATCGCTAGGGCCTCTGCAACTAAGGCAGAAGGTACAAAAGGGCGTGTTGACGACGCCTGTGAGATAATCTCACCAGAAGGGTCCTTGAGTAACCATCCTGCGCCACTCAAACCGGAAGTTGAGTTCCAAGATTATTCTGATTTCTGAATTGCACAAGAAGCATATTTGCAAAATTTTCTTATTGATCTAAAAAGGATATTGGGCTTGACTTAATGGTGACCCATTATAGATAACAATTACGTCAAATGTATAAACCTTTCAATTTTTTACTTTCCAAAATCAAATACCACAAAGAAAGCATATAAAACCACAAAAGTATATATTTAATGAAATATATACATTTCCAAGAAAAGGTAAACAAATCGTCAAATTATTTGTGGGTTTAAATCTCTACCAATTCTCACTCTCTCTTTCTCTCAGAGAACCTGAAACGTTTTTTGATAATGGGCAAAGTGAATACCAACCGGTCCAAGAAGATGAAGGAGGTTTGTGGTGGTTCCGGTGAAGCTAAGCCAACTGGGAAGAAGCAGAAGAACGAAGTGACGTCAATGGACAAAGACGTGAGTGCCAAGCAATCGAAGAAGGCGAGTTCTCAAAAGTTGGAGTGGAGTGAGGAAGAAGAGATCCGTGTGCTACTAGGTATGACAGATTTCAAAGCTATAACAAGGAAGAATCCTTTTGATGACATGAACGGAGCTTACGAATTCCTCCAGGAATATATAAGCGTTGATGTTGACGACTTCGTAGAGAAGATGAAGAGTTTGAAGAAGAAGTTAATGGGTCAAGTGAGGATTAACGCTAAAGAACCGTCTTCCTCGGAACCTTACGACCAGAAAAGTTCTGAGTTGTTGAAACTGATTTGGGGATATGATGTGGAATCTGCTGTTGAGAAACCAAAGAGGAGTAAGAGGATTATAAAGCCTAAAGAGGAGAAGCAAGTGATGGTTCATGAAGGAGGAAAATGGTTTGAGAATGGGCTTATTGTTCGGAAGATTGTTAGTTTTGGTGTTGATGAAGATTCTCTAAAAAGAAAATGGGGTTCGGTGCCTATGGAGGATAAGAACATGATTGATCAAAAGTGGAGAGTCTTGCGAACCAAGGAACTTGAATACATGTTGCAAAAAAATAAGTTTTTGAATGATGTTTTCTCTATGATGGATGAAGCAGCATCATCCAGTTAGATGCTAATTAAGGTCTCTTTTTAATTTGTTTTTGCAACTTTGGATTTGCTTTTATGGTTTTCTGGTTATCCTTTTTGTTTTCGGATTGTTCTATCTAAGTTTCTGGATTATGTTATGATGACTTTGTTTTGGATTGTTGCCTCTATTTTAAGATGTTGGTTTTATCTTTTATGATTTTATCAAGTGGAATCTGTTTCTTTGGGATTTGATCTTTGTTAAATGTAAAACTGCGTTATTGGTTTTACTATAACCTTTCGTTGACAAGAACTTTGAGGTGTTTCTTATGCATGTTTCAAAAGTTAAGTTAGGTCATTCTTATATATGCATGTTTCAAAAGTTAAGTTAGGTCAAGGAAAAGTTGAATCATGGAAAAGTGAGAGGATTCAGAAACTAGAAAAGGATAAGGATGTCATGATTCTTGAACAAGGAGACGATTGGTTCAACAATTCGTTTTTGGTTAGATCGATAGCAAGTTTTGGCGTGAGTGAAGATTATGTGAAAAGAAGATGGAGTTTGGTGCACAAAGAGAAGAAGAAGATGCTTGAAGAAAAATGGAGAGTCTTGACAACTAAAGAAGCTATATTTGTGTCGCAAAAGATAGAGCTTTTGCATGAAGTGGTTTCTCTGATCATTGACGTTGAAGCATCTACTCACTAGTCACTAGATGCAAAATGTTTCTTTTAATTTGTTTTCGCAACTTTGGATTTTTCTATCTTAGATTTTGGTTTATGTTATGTCATTGTTTTGGATTGTTGCTTCTATGTTAAGAATCTGACCTCTATTAAACGTGAAACTGCATTATTTTATTTGGTTACTATGTTACTCTTTCGTTGATAACAACATTGAAATGTTACTCGCACAAAATTCAGTAAAACCATATTTTCTTATACATGTAACAAAAGATATCAAAGGCTTTAACAACTGCAGAAGACGTTCTTGTGTGGTCACTTACTCAAACTGACTAAATTTTTGTTTATTACGGCCCATTAAAAGCCCAATTAAGAATGATATTAGGCTAAGAATGATATTTTAACGTTAAACCTATTACGGCCCATTAAGAGCCCAATAAATAGATAAACATATGCGTCGCCGTTTCTCTCTGTTCTCTCAATCTTTTTCTTCTTCCCTTTTTCCCAAAAATCCAGAAACCCCAGAGAAAGCAAAACCGCGAGCTCTCATGGCCTCCGGCGGCAAAGATTCCGATCGTACCTTAGGGTACATGACTCGGAAAGATACAGAAGTCAAGCTTCCAAGACCTACTCGTGTCAAGAACAAAACTCCGGCGCCGGTACAAATCACCGCCGAACAAATTTTAAGAGAAGCTCGAGAGAGACAAGAAGCTGAGATCCGTCCTCCTAAGCAAAAAATCACTGATTCCACTGAGCTTTCCGACTACAGACTCCGCCGGAGAAAGGAATTTGAAGACCAGATCCGTCGCGCTAGATGGAATATTCATGTTTGGGTCAAATACGCTCAATGGGAAGAGTCACAGAAAGATTACGCTCGTGCTCGAAGTGTTTGGGAACGAGCTATAGAAGGAGATTACAGGAACCATACGCTTTGGCTCAAATACGCAGAGTTCGAGATGAAGAACAAGTTTGTGAACAGTGCGAGAAACGTTTGGGATCGAGCTGTTACGCTTCTTCCTCGTGTAGACCAGCTTTGGTACAAGTATATTCATATGGAGGAGATACTTGGGAATATCGCCGGAGCTAGGCAGATTTTTGAACGGTGGATGGATTGGTCACCGGATCAACAAGGTTGGCTCTCGTTTATTAAATTTGAACTTAGGTATAATGAAATCGAACGGGCTAGAACGATATACGAGAGATTTGTGCTTTGTCATCCGAAGGTTTCTGCTTATATTAGATATGCTAAGTTTGAGATGAAAGGTGGTGAAGTTGCGCGTTGTAGGAGTGTGTATGAACGTGCCACAGAGAAACTTGCTGATGATGAAGAAGCTGAGCAGCTCTTTGTGGCGTTTGCGGAGTTTGAAGAACGATGTAAGGAAGTAGAAAGGGCTAGGTTTATCTATAAGTTTGCTCTTGATCACATTCCTAAAGGCAGAGCTGAGGATTTGTATAGGAAGTTTGTGGCTTTTGAGAAACAGTATGGTGATAAGGAAGGGATTGAGGATGCAATTGTTGGGAAGAGGAGGTTTCAGTATGAAGAGGAAGTGAGGAAGAATCCTTCGAACTATGATTCGTGGTTTGATTATGTTAGGTTAGAAGAGAGTGTGGGGAACAAAGATAGGATCAGAGAAATCTATGAGAGGGCTATTGCTAATGTTCCACCTGCTGAGGAGAAACGATACTGGCAAAGATATATCTATCTTTGGTGAGTTTTTTCTTTTTCGATTCGGTTTACTGATTTTTTGGCAATTACGCATTATCGGTTTAGAATTGGAATGTTGGCTCCTTATACTGATCATGGTTTTGATAAGAATGTTAAGTTTTAGTTTCCTTTAACTGAACTGTTTGAGATTGGTTGTCTTAGGCAGATACTAGTTTTATCATCTATGTCAAGCTTTTAGCACATCCTAGTCACTAAATATATGAGAACAGATTCTTACATTCCATGGAAAGCTATTGCTGTTGTATTTTGTTAGCTTATGGTTCTGTGGTTTTCGCAAATACTGACACTGGTGTGACTAATTTGTGTAGGATTAATTATGCATTGTATGAAGAGATAGAAACTGAAGATGTTGAGCGTACCCGAGATGTTTACAGGTACCAGTCTATTCATTTACGTTTTGGTAATGACTATTTTGTCAAAATATCACTTGATAGTTTAAACTAACTATTGTCTTTGTCTTACTGAAATTTTCAGAGAGTGCCTTAAGCTTATTCCCCACAGCAAATTTTCTTTTGCCAAAATATGGTTGCTCGCTGCTCAGTTTGAGATAAGGCAATTGAATCTCACGGGTGCTCGCCAGATATTAGGAAATGCGATTGGAAAAGCTCCCAAAGATAAGGTAAGCCTAAAAATCGTATAAACTATTATCTCATTCCTCTCCTTTAAAGACACAAATGATTTTACTTAATGTGGTGAACTTTTTCCTGCAAATAGATATTCAAGAAATACATTGAGATCGAGCTTCAGTTGGGAAACATGGATAGGTGTAGAAAGTTATATGAACGGTATCTTGAGTGGTCTCCTGAGAATTGCTATGCTTGGAGCAAGTATGCTGAGTTAGAGAGGTCTCTTGCTGAAACCGAACGAGCTAGAGCTATTTTTGAACTTGCAATATCCCAGCCAGCTCTTGACATGCCTGAGCTGCTATGGAAGGTAAGTTTTTTCAGTCGAATCCATTCATAGAAGCGAGATTCCTCAGACTCTTGAAACCGATTGGATCATTGAAATCCTATATTGTTTGTCACAGGCCTACATTGATTTTGAGATATCAGAAGGGGAATTAGAGAGGACACGGGCTTTATACGAGCGACTCTTGGACCGTACTAAGCATTACAAGGTGTGGGTTAGCTTTGCAAAGTTTGAAGCTTCTGCTGCGGAAATAGAAGAAGACAAGAACGAAGATGAAGACCAAGAAGATGTTATTGAACACAAGAAAGACTGCATCAAACGTGCCAGAGGTAACTTTAAAACTACACGTTATATGGGTTTTGATGATTCCTTGTGACATGTTTTAACTGTTTTTTTCTCTATATTTTCTTCTACTCAGCGATTTTCGATAGAGCCAACACATATTACAAAGACTCCACACCAGAGCTGAAGGAAGAACGAGCTACGCTCCTGGAGGATTGGCTGAACATGGAGACGAGCTTTGGTAACCTCGGAGATGTTAGTATTGTTCAATCGAAGCTTCCAAAGAAGCTCAAGAAGAGAAAGGCGATCACTAGAGAAGACGGCTCAACAGAGTACGCATTGCTTATATATAATATCTCGATTTTTGTTATCTTTTGAATGTGATTAGTTGAATGCTAAAGCTTAACGTGAAAATTTGTTTGAATCTCTTAACAGGTACGAAGAATACATTGATTATTTGTACCCAGAAGAATCGCAGACGACGAATCTCAAGATTCTTGAAGCTGCATACAAATGGAAGAAGCAGAAGGTTGCTACTTCTGATGATGATTAAGATTAAGCTTTTTTAAAGTTATATCAAAACTGTGAGATGTTGTTTTGTATTCTTACTTAGTTCTCTCTTTGTACACATCGTCACTCATCCTGTTCTGGTTTAGCAGTAATTTTTGTTATCCAAGGACCAAAACAAAATTCAAATCTGTCCTCTTATGTTTTGTTTTGGTTCGAATTTTCCGGTTTAGAAATTAAACAGGATCCTTCTTCATTCCGGTTTTTGTTCTGATCTTTCGGTTTGTGAAATGTATGAAACCGAATCTTGTTTTATACTATTTTTCTTTTTACTTGTTTTTTTTTCATTTATAAAATAAATCCGCGGCGGATTATCTATGAACCATTTTTACGCAAAGATAAATTTGGTCCGCGGCAGTTTGTTGTCTACTCCAAAAATATAATGGTTTAGTCCGTTAGCGGTTTAGTCCGCTTTGCCCATATCATCCATTCATTCAAAGCTTTACTTTCTTTTCACTTTGAGTCGGCTGGGCTAATCAAACTTTTGTTAAATTCTCAAAAAAATTAAGGTCACTTGGCAACTTGTAGCTCAAGCAATCGATGTATGCCACGTGGCAAGATTACGGCTTCCGCTGAACGAGTGGATATTGGACCAATCACGTCTTGTAGGCAAAATATCGAGAGATATATAAAGACGAGGACGAGAATTTAGCAAACTCTTCGTTTGGGCTCTGGTTATTCCCGTAATTATTAACGAACTTCAATGGCATTTAGATAAACACAGGTAGTGCCAAATTTTGCATTCCCTCTCTTATTAAGCCAAAAATGAAACCTTTAAATATAACAATTTAGACCAAAAAAGACACAACCTCTCGTTTTATCTGAGTCTGATCCCATTTTGCTAAAATCTTCAAAAACAAATTTGGAAAAAAAAAAGTTAGACAATTTTTTTCGTTCTTTCTTTATCAGCTTTCTTAGCCGAACGGAGAAAGAAAATTTGATCCTGATTTTTGCTAGTAAAATTCTAAAACTATTGATTTCTCTGTGGAACCAAACATTGAATTTAGGGTTTGAATTGCATCAATGGTGGAACCCAGTTGTTTTTTCCTCCTATATTAATGGTCATTCTCGGTGTAGGGTCATGACCATGACCTTCGTTTAGTTTACATCCTCTTACATGGTCTCAATTTTTCTACCATTTATTTCTCCAATTTCTAAATTCTCTGGTATGTATTTCCTCTGGAACCATACTGAATGTTACATATGTTGAGTCTTTATAATTTTTCTACTCTAATCCTAATGAAAGGGTTAGTTTTTGAAAGCTTTCTTGTGGTACAAGGAAATTATTGACATTCCATTTAGGGTCATGCTGTTTTCGTTTGCTTGCATGGAAAGTTAAAGTCGTTACCAATGAATTTGATCGATGTTGTTTGTTTCTTTGTGTTTTTCAGAGCTTTTGTGTTTAAGCGGATAGTTATAGACAAATAAGTCACGAAGGAAACGAATCTGTTGCAAATGGAGGATGCCAAAACTGGTAAGAATTGGTTTTTAATGTTCACTGGTTACAATTTGTGAGGCAATGTTTTGTTATGTAAGATGTATTTTTACATGTGCAGAAGTGGAGAAGAAGGTGTCTATACTTTTAAAGTTTATTCAAAACAAAAACAAGATCCCAAAGGTTACAAAGAAGGAGCTTGTTGGGATTGTTGAAGATCTTCATAAGCAGTGTCAGTTACTTTACTTTGTGTTTGATGATTTGGGGACTAATGGAAGAAAAGGAAAATTGGGTACTGCTACTTCATCGAGGTCTAGTTCGGATTTGGATTACTATTCCTCAGAGGAAATAGAGATCACTGCTGATAATGTTAGTGAAACATTGAGCTCAGATTATGCGGTGATGCTCAGAAAGCTACAAGAGACTGAGTTAATAAATGAAGATTTGGAGAGACAGGTGAGCAATCTGAAACAGGAAACGGACAATCTACGCGATCAAAACATGGAGGTGGCGGGCGATATTGAAGGTAAGAGAAACGAGGACAGAGGACATCTCAAGGGGTTGATGAGTAAAAGTGAAGCTGCATTGTTGTGTAACCAGAAAAAGGAGTTGGAATTGGAGCTGGAGAAGAAAGCCAATCAAGTTTTAGAGACGCAAATGCGATTGAAGCGTTTGGAGGAAGAAACAAAGAAACGGGCCAAGGCGGAGATGAAGATTGTTGAAGAAAAGGAAGCCTTGTGGAACAAAAAAGTACAGAAACTTGAAGCGGGCGTGGATACTTTGCGGAAGAAGAGAAAGGAGTTTAATGAGGAGATGAAGAGTAAGATTACTGAGATTGATTGTCTTAGGGAAGAGAATCAGAAGCTGCATACAAGAATTTCAGAGATTAGTAAAATTGAAGACAAGAGTAAGAAACTTGAGTACCAAGATAAGGAACGAGAAGATATCATTCAACGGTAAGAAAGAACAAGAATTGTAAAAGCTTTCTAATTGAAATTTAATGGTTACTATTGATTTTAATTCACTGTAGGCTATCAATGGAGATCAAGGATCAGAAGAAGGTTATGAAAGAACAGAAAGACGCCATTGATAAGTTTTCAGAGGATCAGAAGGTGATGAAACGTTGGTCATTTGGTTCGAAATTGAATACTAATCTTCTCGAGAAGAAGATGGATGAGTTAGCGGAAGATTTTCGGATGAAAATGGAAGATCATATCCGGATACTTCACAGGAGGATCCATGTAGCCGAACAAATACACTTAGAGAGCAAGAACAACTATATCAAGAAGCGCGACAACACACAAACACAAGAAAACAGAGGAAACAGAGCAGATTTCAAGAAAATCAAGGAAATGGTGGAACAAGGGCTTACTGGACCAGAGATGGCGTTAAAGAAGCTGGAAGAAAGCGGGGAATTAGTGAGCCGAGTCACGAGATTATCTAAAGAGATCGATTCAGCGAGAAAATGGGTGAAGGAGAAAGACAACAACATGAAGCATGAAGTTGAAACTCTAGAGGCGAAGCTAGAATGTAGAGAAGCACAAGAATCTCTGCTAAAGGAGAAGCTATCAAAACTAGAGGCGAAGCTAGGAGAGGAAGGAACAGAGAAGCTGAGTCTATCAAAGGCTATGAGGAAAATAAAAAAGCTTGAGATTGATGTGAAGGAGAAAGAGTATGAGTTGTTGAGTTTAGGAGAAGGGAAGAGAGAAGCCATAAGACAACTATGTGTTTTGGTTGATTATCAACGTTGTCGATATGATGATCTCAAAACATCCATTTGTCACGTAGCTCTTCAAGCATAAACTTTCTTCTTCTTTTTTGGTGCAAATATTGTAAATATTAAATATGTTGCAAGATTTGGTTAATTTTCATTGTTGTAACTTGTCACTGCATTATTTTGTAAATAACTTATTTTAACTTTGTTTTTCAACTATTCTTAATATTAAAGATCATATAAGCTTTTTGAAAGTTTCCATTAGTTTGTTATGTTTGGCCTTAATCTATTTAATCTTCCTTTATTGGAAGTTAGATTATTTTATTTCAAAAATGTTTTAAGTTTAACATAAGACTAGATCATGACCCGCACGTACGTGCGGGGTTTCTTATTTTAAGAAAATATGTTATAATAAACTTTTTGTAAATATAGAATATTTTATTGTTGGTGATATATATTCTTGTATATATATATTAGAATGTATACATAAAAATGTAGAATGCTATTTATATTGTTTATGACACAATAGCTAATGTTGTGAACCATAGGTCAAATTTTGGAGTTTGAAATTGAAGAGTAAATTAGAAAAAAAAAAATCTTATTAGAAAGAAATATAATATAGGTTAGATTGATGTAAACAAATTTATTTTATATAGTATTTATAACACAATCTTAGATTAATTGTGAGATAATCAACGACATGGATGTATGCATAATATTTATAGAAAATAGATTGTACATGAAATTTGGTTTTAATTTGTGGATGATGACAAAAAATACTAATCTTAATTGCATATTTTAAATTTATGATGACGAAAATATTTTAAAAAAAATCTAAAATTTCCTATGATCCTTATGCATTATCGCAAATATGGTGATTGTTCAAATCTGTTAAAAAAATTATATTAATGTTTGTTTCCAGAAAAGAAGTTATTCAAATTTAATATAAAATTAAGAATATTGGTGTGAATGAATATTTTCTCATTTTGAAGTATTTGCATTGAAAATTTAAACATTGGTATTTAAATTATATTTTAATGTTTTTTGGAAAAATAAAATAATCGAATTTAGAAGAATATATATTCCAAAAGCTTGTAACAATTTGAGACGTAATAAAATAATTTACTTGAATTGATATATTAATTTATTTGGCTCTAAATAAAATAATTTGGAGATATAATAACTATTATAATACGTTTTAAAAATATATAATTTTATATAATTCAAATTTAGTTTAGTGATATATATTTAAAACAATGAAAACTACCCGTTTCTAAAAAATATATTTTCAAAATTTATATCATTCAAATTCTAATTAAAATGTAAAATAATTTAATCTATACTGAAAATATTATCTAGATATTTAGAATATAAAATCTAAAATTATTTGTTGAATAGGTTATATTTAAAAGGATGAAAGTATTTATTTTAGATTATATATGACAAATTGCTAAATGTTATTTTGTATTTGGAAAATAAAATTTTAAAATCGTTTTTTCATGTGTTCTACTAATCAGAATTAATTAGCATAATTTTGTTAAGGAAATGTATTAAAATCTAAATTAAATGATAATTTATTACATTAAATTAGATTGCAAAAAATATCTAATAATATATTAGCAAAATAAATAAGTTTATATATATATATAATTTCGAATTAAATAACTATATTTATTATGAAATCTTCTTTAAACTATTTCCAAAAATATTGGGTAGTTATTATTTTATTGATTTATTTTCGATTATTTAAAAAAAAATTTCAAATAAAAGAAATCAATGGCATTTTATGTAATATTCTACAACTTAAAGGTTTTTTATTATTTAGTGATTCCCAATTAATAGTATAGATTTAATGATTTATCATCATTGGATCGTGATTCGGTTTCAATTATTAATGAATCAGAGAAAAAACATAATATGAATGAAAATCTTGTAACAATAAAAAAAAACCTAATATGAAAAATCCTATTAAATATTAATAGGAACAAATCATAAAGGATTGAAACTAAATAATAAATAGGAGCAAATGAAAGATATTTAATTGAAATAAAAATTACTCCTAAGAAAAAAAAAAGAAAAAATTCTGTCCCATTTTATAATGTGAATATAATGTAGTCTAAATTAAGATTAGGTAAGTAAAATCAATCTTGTTGGTTTTCCTAAATATAATTTTTTTTTAAAAGAGGCATATTTCTTTGTCAAAAGACCCACAAAAAAAGGCGGGAAACGCACTTAGTGATGGTGAGGCATTAATCATGTGTTAAATTTAATTACGGCATTAGACATGCTAAACAAAAATCAAAACAAATTCAATATATCGGTGGCAAAAGCGTAATAATCTCTAACATGATTAACGACAGTCAAATGATATTTTGACCGGGTTGACGAGAATTTGAAGAGAAAATAAAAGCGTGTAGTGGCAGAAGCGTAATAATCTGATAAAGAGAAGGGTGTTTGTGGGAATACGAATTTACAAAAGATTCCTCCAGTCGTCGTCTCTCTCCCTCAAACACAAAAGTTGAGCTTTCATAACTGTTCTCTCCTCTCAAATAACTCCAAAAACCAAATCACCTTTTTTTCTTCTTCTTCTTCTTCAATCTCTCTTTCGCTTCGATTTCAATTTCGTAATCTTATCATCACACACACACACATCAGAGAGAAGAGCGAGAGAGTTGCTTCTAATCTCTGCTTCTTCTTTTTTTTCTGGAATTTTCTGAATTTTTTCAAATCTCCGGAACTTGCGTATCCAGGTAAATTTCTAGGTTACGAAATGATTTTAGTAGCTTCGATTTCTCCGTACGAGTTGGATTATTGATTTGAAGAAGCTTTGGTTCTTCGATCAGCTTTAGTTTACGCTTTCGTTGCTTAGTGTTGGATTTAGATCATAAATTAGAACGTCAGATAGTTTTTTCTTTGTTGTTGTTAGTCGATGATGCTTTTTTACTGGGAATATTATGAGTTTCTTGTTCTCCAGTTCATTTTAGTCTCGTTGAGGTTTTGATTATAGTTAAAATCAATTGGATTATCATCGTTGATTTGGTTCTTAAAGTAGTGATTGGATTTATATGGTGAATCAAGTTCATGAACTTGTTTTTGTTCGTCTTCTAGGTTTTTGGCGATTGTGTTTTTGTTTTGTGTGGCAGTTCTAGTTATTGGCACTGATTTTGTGATTGGTTTTGCTTCTGTTGTTCCTCTCATTATGAATTTCACTGTAACTAATATCCTTAGATGTTAGTAGAATTTGTGATTTAAGCTTCCATTAACTGCTGTGAACCATCAAAATGCTAACTAGAACTCTTGGTTTCGATACAGGGAAAAACCAAAAACCATAACAATCGATTCTGGATCTTCCTGTGGAGCTTTAAAGGAAATTCGAGAGATAAAGGGTAAGTGAAACTAGATACTCTACTCCTTTCCTTGTATTTACAGTTTTACTAGTAACTTTCTTTTTAAGAAAGTATTGGATGATGGGATCGAGATTGTTTTAGTTGAAACTGTATTGTTAAAGGTAGTAGTAACATATAAGAACAAAAAGAAACAACTCACATTTTCCTGAGGTATGAAAGTTGAATAATGATAGCTGTCTTTTATCGTTCTAGAGGTATGTGCTTTCTGGTCCATTTCCAAATTTGCTGAGGTGGCTCCACATGAGATCTTTTGTCTAGCCAATACCATCAGATTCCAAATTTAGACCCGGCACTAAAAGTGATTAGCTTTAATCCAAGTTCTATATTCTAATTAAATTGCATTTGTTCTTGTACCTTCTGTTGATGTAAATAATATATCACTTGGTAAGAAAGTTACTGAATGATGCAAGGATTTTGTGGATCTATGATGTGGTTCTTTGCGGGCCCCACAAATTCTATTATTATCTGCGTACCTTGTCAGAGTACAATTGCTGGATCTACTTCTATTATTATATCTCTTTATGTTGAATATTAAGATGCTTAACCTATGATCTGGATTCTGTAAAGCCAAATTTATATTACTTTACTAATTTGTTATTATATACCAACATACATAAATGTGAAAAGGATGGTATCTCTTTCTAATTAAATATTGGCATTTAATGTGAACAAGTTAGTTTTGCTAGTCTTAACGTTTCTTCTGATAAGTTTCTCTGTGAATTGTGTTTGGTCACAGGTGAAGATTGAGTTTCTTGTTTGATGATATTTGGTTGAAGAAGTTATCAAAGAAACTGAAGAAAAAAGACATGAAAAAGAATAAGTTTAGAGAGACCTTGAAGTCTTTCTTTGAGCCTCATTATGATCATGAGAAAGGTGAAATGCTTAAAGGAACTAAAACTGGTAATTTTCCTACCTACGCTACTAAGTTTTGATTCACATGTAAAATGAAATTCTTAGTTCTTGGTCTGATGCTTACATGAAAAGTACTATCATCGTCTGATGCAGAAATAGATGAAAAGGTGAACAAAATCTTGGGACTGGTTGAGAGTGGAGACGTCAATGAGGATGAATCTAAAAGACAAGTGGTTGCAGACTTAGTGAAGGAATTCTACAGCGAGTACCAGTCTCTGTATCGCCAGTACGATGATCTAACTGGAGAGATTAGGAAAAAGGTCAATGGGAAAGGAGAAAGCTCCTCTTCATCGAGCTCAGACTCGGATTCTGACCATTCTTCTAAGAGGAAGACCAAGAGAAATGGAAATGGAAAAGTAGAGAAAGATGTAGAGTCGGTAACGGATGCCCTGAAGCAACAAATCGAAGCTGCAAATCTCAAAATTGCTGATCTGAAAGGGAAGTTAACGACGACTGTTGAAGAAAAAGAAGCAGTAGATTCTGAGCTTGAAGTAGCTTTGATGAAGTTAAAAGAATCAGAAGAGATTAGCAATAAGTTGAAACTTGAAACTGAGAAGTTAGAGAACGCAAAGACAACAGCACTGAATGATAACAGGGAACTGCATCAGAAACTGGAAGTTGCTGGCAAAACAGAAACTGATCTGAACCAGAAGTTTGAAGATATCAAAAAAGAGAGAGATGAACTGCAAACTGAGAGAGACAATGGTATCAAGAGATTTCAAGAAGCTGAAAAAGTTGCAGAAGATTGGAAAACAACGAGTGATCAGCTGAAAGATGAAGCTACTAATTTCAAGCAGCAGCTAGAAGCATCAGAGCAGCGAGTTTCAGAGCTAACCACGAGTATGAATAGTGCAGAGGAAGAGAATAAATCTCTATCCTTGAAAGTTTCGGAGATTTCAGATGAGATCCAACAGGCACAGAACACCATACAAAAACTAATTTCCGAATTGGGAGAGATGAAAGAAAAGTACAAGGAAAAAGAGAGTGAGCATTCTAGTTTGGTGGAGTTACATAAGACCCATGAGAGAGAATCATCGAGTCAGATGAAAGAATTAGAAGCACACGTAGAATCATCGGAGAAGTTAGTTGCAGATTTGAACCAAAGCCTGAACGATGCAGAGGAAGAGAAAAAACTGCTATCTCAGAAAATAGCAGAAATCTCTAACGAGATTCAAGAGGCACAGAACACCATACAAGAACTCAAGTCTGAGTCTGGACAGTTGAAAGAGAGCCACAGTGTGAAAGAGAGAGAGCTTTTCAGTTTGAGGGACATCCATGAGATTCATCAAAGAGACTCGTCCACCAGAGCAAGTGAATTAGAAGCTCAACTGGAGTCCTCAAAACAGCAGGTCTCAGATTTGAGTGCGGGTCTGAAAGCTGCAGAGGAAGAAAACAAAGCTATCTCCTCGAAAAACATGGAAACTATGGACAAACTCGAACAGATGCAGAACACGATACAGGAACTCAGAGATGAATTGGGAGAGTTGAAAGACCGCCACAGAGAAAAAGAGAGTGAGCTTTCTAGTTTGGTGGAGGTACACGAGACTCACCAGAGAGATTCATCGAGTCATGTGAAAGAACTAGAAGAGCAAGTGGAATCATCAAAAAAATTAGTTGCAGAGTTGAACGAAAGCCTGAACAATGCAGAGGAAGAAAAAAAACTGCTATCTCAGAAAATAGCAGAACTCTCTAACGAGATTAAAGAGGCACAAAACACCATACAAGAACTTGTATCTGAGTCTGGACAGTTGAAAGAGAGCCACAGTGTAAAGGAGAGAGATCTTTTCAGCTTGAGGGACATCCACGAGACTCATCAAAGAGAATCATCCTCTCGCGTGAGTGAATTAGAAGCTCAACTGGAATCCTCAGAACAGCGGATCTCAGAGTTGAGTGTGGGCCTGAAGGATGCAGAGGAAGAAAACAAAGCTATCTCCTCAAAAAATTTGGAAACTATGGACAAGCTTGAACAAGCGCAGATCACGATACAAGAACTCAGGGATGAATTAGGAGAGTTGAAAGACCGTCACAAAGAGAAAGAGAGTGAGCTTTCTAGTTTGGTGGAGGTACACGAGGCATATCAGAGAGATTCAACAAGTCGAGTGGAAGAATTAGTTGCAATGGTGAAATCAGCAGATCAACAGGTTGCAGATATGAAGCAGAGTCTGGACAATGCAGAGGAAGAGAAAAAACTGTTATCTCAGAAAATCTCAGAAATCTCTAATGAGATTCAAGAGGCACAAAAAACCATAGAAGAACACATGTCTGAGTCTGAACAGTTGAAAGAGAGCCACGGTGAGAAAGAGAGGGAACTTACTGGTTTGAGGGACATTCACGAGACTCATCAAAGAGAATCATCCACTCGTTTGAGTGAATTAGAAACTCAACTGAAATTATCAGAACAACGGGTCGTAGATTTGAGTGCGAGTCTGAATTCTGCAGAGGAAGAAAAGAAGTCCATGTCCTCAGAGATTTTGGAAATTACGGATGAGCTCAAACAGGCCCAAAGCAAGGTACAAGAACTTATGACTGAATTGGCAGAGTCTAAAGATACACACATACAAAAAGAGAGTGAGCTTTCTAGTTTGGTGGAGGTACACGAGGCCCATAAGAAGGATTCCTCAAGTCAGGTGAAAGAATTAGAAGCACGGGTGGAATTAACAGAGAAACAGATTGAAGAATTGAACCAGAGCCTGAACAGTTCAGAGGAAGAGAAGAAAGTGTTATCTCAGCGAATTTCAGAAATGTCGATTGAGATCAAGCGGGCGGAGAGCACCATACAAGAACTCAAGTCTGAGTCTGAACAACTAAAAGGGAGCCACACTGAGAAAGACAATGAACTTTTCAGTTTGAGGGATATCCATGAGACTCATCAGAGAGAATCATCCACTCAGCTAAGAGATTTAGAAGCGCAACTAGAATCATCTGAACACAGGGTTTCGGAATTGAGCGAAAGTCTGAAGGCTGCAGAAGAAGAAAGCAAAACTATGTCCACGAAAATCTCAGAAACTTCAGACGAGCTTGAACGGGCACAGATCATGGTACAGGAACTCACAGCTGATTCGAGCAAACTGAAAGAGCAGCTCGCTGAGAAAGAAGACGAACTTTTACTTCTGACAGAGAAGGACAGCAAATCACAGGTGCAAATAAAAGAACTAGAAGCAACAGTAGCGACACTGGAGCTGGAACTAGAGTCACTTCGTGCCCGTAGTACAGATCTTGAGACAGAGATTGCAAGCAAGACCACCGTAGTTGAGCAGTTGGAAGCGCAAAACAGAGAAATGGTTGCTAGAATCTCAGAACTTGAGAAGACAATGGACGAGAGAGGAACTGAACTCTCAGCTTTAACTCAAAAACTTGAGGATAACGAGAAGCAATCATCGTCCTCAATTGAGAGTTTGACAGCTGAGATCGATGGCCTACGAGCAGAACTAGATTCAATGTCTGTTCAAAAAGAAGAGTTGGAGAAACAAATGGTGTGCAAAAGCAAAGAAGCCTCAGTGCAGATTAAGAGTTTGGATGATGAGATCAATGGTCTGAGACAGCAAGTGGCCTCACTTGATAGCCAGAGAGCAGAACTCGAGATCCAACTTGAAAAGAAGTCCGAGGAGATCTCTGAATATTTGAGTCAGATTACAAATCTAAAAGAGGAGATCATAAACAAGGTTAAAGATCACGAGAGTATTCTAGAAGAAAGAAATGGTTTATCTGAGAAGATTAAGGGACTTGAACTTGAGTTAGAGACTCTACAGAAACAGAGAAGTGAGCTTGACGAGGAACTGAGAACTAAGACAGAAGAGAACGCTCAAATGCACGATAAGATCAACGAAGCGTCTTCTGAAATAATGGCCTTAACAGAACAGATCAACAATCTGAAGCATGAGCTTGATTCTCTAGATGTGCAGAAGAGCCAAACCGAAGCAGAGCTTGAGAGTGAGAAGCAAGAGAAATCAGAATTGTCGAATCAGGTCACCAATGTCCAGAAAGCATTGGTAGAGCAAGAAGCTGCTTACAATACGCTGAAAGAGAAACACAATCAGATTAACGAACGGTTCAAAGAAAGTGAAACAACACTAAATAAGCTAACAGATGATTACAAAGAAGCTCAAAGATTGTTGGAGGAGAGAACTAAAGAAGTGACATCCAGAGATTCTGCAATTGGGGTTCATGAAGAGACGATGGAGAGTTTACGTAACGAGCTGGAAATGAAAGGAGACGAGATCGAAACTCTCATGGAGAAGATCAGTAACATCGAGGTTAAGCTACGCTTATCGAACCAGAAACTGAGAGTAACCGAACAGGTACTAACAGAGAAAGAAGAAGCTTTCAGAAAAGAAGAGGCTAAGCACTTAGAGGAGCAAGCATTGCTTGAGAAGAATCTCACCGTGACACACGAGACATATCGAGGTATGATCAAAGAGATAGCAGATAAAGTGAACATAACAGTAGACGGGTTTCAATCCATGTCGGAAAAACTCAAGGAGAAACAGGGGAGATACGAGAAAACTGTAATGGAGGCATCGAAAATACTGTGGACTGCGACGAATTGGGTGATAGAGAGAAATCACGAGAAGGAGAAGATAAAGAAAGAGATAGAGAAGAAAGATGAAGAAATAAAAAAGCTTGGAGGAAAAGTAAGAGAAGATGAAAAAGAGAAGGAGGTGATGAAAGAGACCTTGATGGGACTTGGAGAAGAGAAAAGAGAAGCGATAAGGCAATTATGTGTTTGGATCGATCACCATAGAAGTCGTTGTGAATATCTTGAGGAGATTTTGTCTAAAACCGTTGTGGCTCGAGGCCAAAGAAGAGTGTCGCAGCGAGCTTAAGGACTCGTGCCATGGTACGTTGTTCCTTGATTTTTCCCAAGCCTAGTTTCACCTCACATGAATGCAAACAATGAAATAGTGTATATGTGTTTATTAGGTTTTGGACTCTGGTCAATCAAGAAGCTGGTGGAGAGGTATTTTTTGGTTGGGTACTTGTGTTCGATTACTTTGTTGCATTTTAATATGTTTGTGTAACTTTTGTTGTTTTTTATGTCAATTTTGGTTTATTGTGGGCAAAGTTGGTGGTGGTTTTGATGGGAAGGAATAAAGTGGCTCACACAAATGGATTTGATATTTTTATTCTTTTTGGGGGTGGATTGTATAGAACGATTAAATGTTGCTGTTGGTATAGTGTTATTGCTTGTTTGGTATTTGTTATAATATCATCTTTGCTCTTTCATAACAAAAAGTTATACACATCACTAAAGAGTGTGGTTCTCTCATTCATCTCTTATTTTAATGGTTTTTTTTTTACATCTCGCCTTGAATTTCTAATGTGAACTATTTTTAAATGTTTAATTCTTTGAATATCAATCACTTCCTTTTTTGTTTACTAGTGTTTTTCATACCAAAAGGTCAAACATGTGAATGATAAACAAAACAGAATAAGTCAGCCAGCCGGATTGGTGATGTTTGATCAATCCATATTTGAAAAAAAATCTATAACTAGTTGATATTTCCTAAATCGAAGTAAAATTGAAAATTAAGTACAACTTGGCAATATCTTAATTCTCTTAACTCTATCTACTTTTATGAGTTTATGGAAACACACTAATCTCTCTTAAAAAATTAGTGATACATCAACATTTATTAAAAACTATAAAGATATATTTAAAATTTGAAAGGAGATAATCATGTGTCTACAATATAACATGTTATAATTTCCAAGTACTTGAATATATGATTAATTCTTCATATAAATCATATTGGATTATTCTTTAAAAAAAAAAAACACTCTCAAAATTTGTTTTCTTATTTAAAAACAATACATTAAAGAACAAACTCTACACAAAGCTATGAAAAAGTAATTTCAAAATCTTCTTTTGCCTATTCAATATTTCTATTTTTATAAAATATATAAGTCGGCCAGCCGGATTGGTGATGTTAGATCAATCAATATTTGAAAATAATTCCATAACTAGTGATATTTCCTAAATCGAAGTTAATTGAAAATTTAGTACAACTTGGGAATATCTTAATTCTCTTATTATTAACTTTTAAATAGAAACTCTATCTACTTTTATGTGTTTATGGAAACACTCTAATCTCTCTTAGAAAATTAGTGATACACTGATACATCAACATTTATTAAAAACTATAAAGATATATTTAAAAAAATTGAAAAGAGATAATCATGTGTCTACAATATAACATGTTATAATTTCCAAGTACATTAATATATGATTAATTCTTCAAGATACGTTCTAAAATCATTGTAATATATATTCATATAAATCATATTGGATTATTCTAACAAAAAAAAACACTCTTAAAATTTGTTTCCTTATTTATAAACACTACATTAATGAAAAAAAACTCTACATAAAACTATGAAAAAGTAATTTCAAAATCTTATTTTATCAATTCAATATTTCTATTTTTATCAAAAAAATATCTGTAACATGCAAAGAAGCACAAGTAAAGTACAAGTGGAAATGTATGATCAATTGATCATAAAACATTAAAACTAATTTTTAATTTTAATGAAAGGAATCTGAAAAAAGCAAAATTTTATCACACCCGAATAAAGGGGAAAATGCAAAATATGTCTCTTTTTCCCACTATGACAGGTTGTTTCTTTAAAGAAGCAACGAAATTTAACATTTTAGCAAACATTAACTATCACCAGCTAACATGCGCCCACCTCTCCACCGTGCTCTCCATCATCATCATTCATCATTCATCATTCATCATCATTCCATATATAAATCATTCACTTGCAGAATCTTCTTCTTCTCTTTCACACTAAATCATCAATGACGGATCCTCCTAGACCCGACCCGTTTCCTGTTTCCCGACTCGATTCCGACGCCGGAGCTCTCTTCGTCCTCCAATCAAAAGGTAAAAAAATTTGATATTATTTATCTCAATTTCTTTTCCAATTAGAAATATATGATGATTTAATTAAACTAATCCTCATATTATTTATTTGAGTTTATTTTTTCAATTAGAAATATGAGAGATCAATTTTTTTTCCTTTTTGTAATATGTTTTTACTTAACTGTGTTTTTTGTTTGTCCTCAATTATGATTGTAGTATTGTTAGATTGTTTATTTCAATTTTGTCTTTTCATATTTAAATTATCAAAGATTCATATATCATCGTGTTTATAATTTTTTATTTTTAGTTTAACTGTTGTATCTTTAATTTATTTATTTTGGTTTCTATGTTCAGTTTAAATTATATAAGATTTATAATATATCATAGTTCTAATGATTTTAGATAGCGACATGTGTCATGATTTAAATTACAAATTTACATTATTTATATCAATTTTATTTTCTAATTAGAAATATGTGATGATTTTAAGTAAAGTTTTATATTGTTTATTTGAAATTCTTGAATATGTAAGAACCATATATGCCTCTTCTTTGTTTTTGATATTTTCAATTTAATTATACTATTTCAAAATTGTTTATTTAAATTTCTATGTTCATATTTGAATTATATAAGATTCATATATCATCGTGTTTATAATTTTTTGAATTTATCAATTTTTATTGATTGATCATAAAGTCATTGCAATCGAGTATATAGGAATCGAACCCGCAACGTGAGTTTGGAAGGCTAAGAGATTTAGTCGATTTATCATCTTTATATTTTTAATGTGTCTAATTAAAAACCACTTTGGTTTCATTCACCAACTTTATTATGATGAATATTTTTAATTTTAGTTCTTCATATAAATATACCATAAGTTATTGCTATGTGATAAATCTTTTATTCGAAACAATTTTGAATTAAGAATTTTAGTGGTTAAAGAAACAATGCAGCAGTGAAAAAGTAAATATTTTCTTTACTTTTGAAAGAAATTTTTTATTTACAACGTTGTTAATTAATTTTTTGTTAAATTTAATTTTAATTTTTAAAAATTTAAACCCGTCCGACGGGTCCTTGTCTAGTTTGTTATATAGTATCATCTTTGCTCTTTCATAACAAAAAAGTTATACACATCGCTTAGAATCTCAGAGTTTGGCTCTCTCATTCATATCTTATTTTAATGGATTATTATTTTTTTCATTTTTTTCGCATTAGAAACTATTCTCCACCAAAATAGTTTCTATTGTGTACTATTTTTAAATGTTTATTATTGGTTAGCAATCACTTCCTTTTGTTTTTCCTAGTGTTTTTCTTTTCATACCAAAAAGTCAAACAAGTGAATGATAAACAAAACAGAATAAGTCAGCCAGCCGGATTGGTGATGTTAAATCAATCAATATTTGAAAAAAAATCTATAACTAGTTGATATTTCCTAAATCGAAGTAAAATTGAAAATTAAGTACAACTTGGTAATATATTAATTCTCTTATTATTAACTTTTAAATAGAAACTCTATCTACTTTTATGAGTTTATGGAAACACTCTAATCTCTCTTAGAAAATTAGTGATACATCAACATTTATTAAAAAAAAAACTATAAAGATATATTTAAAATTTGAAAGGAGATAATCATGTGTCTACAATATATAACATGTTATAATTTCCAAGTACTTTAATATATGATTAATTCTTCAAGATACATTCTAAAATTATTGTGATATACTGATATATATTCACATAAATCATACTATTGGATTATTCCAACAAAAAAAAAACACTTAAAATTTGTTTCCTTATTTATAAACAATACATCAATGAAAAAAAAACTCTACATAAAACTATGAAAAAAGTAATTTCAAAATCTTATTTTGTCAATTCAATATTTCTATTTTTTTTTTTCGTCAAAGCAAATTATATTAATTTGAAATACCATCATACAAATTGTTCACAATCCAAGGAGGTGGATCATGGTTAGCAGAATAAAAACAACTAGAAATACACCCAAATCGGACAAGATTATGAGCTACACGGTTTACATGAAAGAAAGAAATCTCTTTAAATTTAGACGCCCAAAAAAAAATCTTTAACATGCAAAGAAGCACAAGTAAAGTACAAGTGGAAATGTATGATCATAAAACTAATTTTTAATTTTAATGAAAGGAATCTGAAAAAAGCAAAATTTTATCACACCCGAATAAAGGGGAAAATGCAAAATGTCTCCTTTTCCCACTAAGCCACTAGGACAGATTGTTGTTTCTTTAAAGAAGCAACGGAATTTAACATTTTAGCAAACATTAACTATCACCAGCTATCATGCGCCCACCTCTCCACCGTGCTCTCCATCATCATCATTCACCATCATTCCATATATAAATCATTCACTTGCAGAATCTTCTTCTTCTCTTTCACACTAATTCATCAATGACGGATCCTCCTAGACCCGACCCGTTTCCTGTTTCCCGACTCGATTCCGACGCCGGAGCTCTCTTCGTCCTCCAATCAAAAGGTAAAAAAACTTCTCTGATTTTGAATTCAATCTCCGATTTCGGAATTTTAACTGATTTCAGATTAATTCTCAGGCGAGTGGTGGCACGCCGGATTTCATCTAACGACGGCGATTGTTGGTCCAACGATATTGACATTACCGTATGCGTTCAGAGGATTAGGATGGTGGTTAGGGTTTGTTTGTTTAACGACGATGGGTCTCGTTACTTTCTACGCTTATTACCTCATGTCTAAGGTTCTTGATCACTGTGAAAAATCCGGCCGCCGTCACATCCGTTTCCGGGAACTCGCCGCCGACGTTCTTGGTATTATTCAAAATCTCTTCTTTATTTATTTATTTTTTTGCTTTTTTTGGATAAATCCGTAAAGGTTGGATCGAGTTTCAATATTGGATACTTTGACTTCTGTTAGATTCGCCATCCATCACACGTGTCTCTGTAACCGGTTTTTGGTTAGTTAGGTTAGGTCTCTGTATTTCGGTTTTAGATTAAACCGGTCAATTTTGAATTTTGAGCCGGTTATTGTGATGTGTTGCAGGATCTGGATGGATGTTTTATGTAGTGATCTTAATTCAAACAGCTATCAACACTGGAATTGGTATTGGCGCTATTCTACTTGCAGGTCAATGTCTTGATGTAAGAAGAAACCTAAATTTTTAATTACTTGCTAAACAAGGTACTATAAGCAATGTACGGATCATTCTCTGTTTTGTGTTACAGATAATGTACTCGAGTCTTT